AAGCAAACGGGACTCCTGATTGCTGCGGCACAATCCGTTCCGTGCCGCCCAACTACGGACGTAGATTCGTTCATCGGCGATTCAAAGGTCTTTCAGAGCGGATCAGACGGGCGCAGTAGCCCGATGATATCTCAGCCTGTCCGCTTCGAACCCCTGAACATAGGGCCTCCACAGCAGGAGGAATCTCGCAAGCCACATTCGCTCATCAACGGGACTGTTTCTGGAGGCCGTGAAGTCCAGTCCAAAAAGCAGGACTCAATGTGTGGACCTTCATCTGGCGACATTCTACATCGCGAGGATTCCGCAATTACACATTTGAGCACAGACAAGCCATCACACCGGCTCGGGGACAACGCAATGGTGGTCCCACATCCAGATTGCCAAGACGAAGCCGAGCTGCTCACAGCACCTCCTGCCAAAAAGCTGAAGATGCCAAATGCGGGTGCTGAACACATCGCCGATGGCTCAATGGTTGTAGCCCAAGTGCTCAACAAGGGAGAATCATCAAGTTTAGAATTCGCGGGTGGCCTTCGCCTTCCACTGAGGCCATTGCCGTGCAATGGCGATCCTGTATTCAGTCACAAGGCTCCTGGGGATTCAAAATGTAGTGAGGATCCTCTCGGCGGCATTTTTTCGTCATTTCAATGAGATGCGTCGCACAGAAAACCTTGGAATTTATCGCGGTGATCTCGTATGCTACACGTCAATGGCCTGAGATGTAACTTCTGGCGCTCGAAGCATGTGAACACGGTATTGTAGGAAAACCATTTTGAATATTTACAGCTCTGCATGTTGCGGTGAGTACCTACCCTGTTCTAATTTTGTGCCTGAGCGAGACCCATACCCATACATTTGAAATTTCTGCATGCAATGATGATTCCTGCTTTGGACACAATGGTTGGCTCAGAGAATTCTGACATTCTCTGAGCTCCAGCTTTTCTAAGCATAGGGCAGCAATACTTAACGAAGCAACATCACCAGACACTATCAGGTGCAGGCTCTCCCGGAAGTGATAGCATACTTCCATTCAGTGTGGAGATCGGGAAAACGAATTTTCTGGATTCAGGATGCTGGGGTTGATGACGCTTCCTTCATTGGGGCCCAAGGTTGTTACTGTCAAGCTCAACAATACCAAGAGACTACAATAGAATGGTGGATTGGTATTGAAAGGGGTATGGTAAATCATATCGTGGAATAAGTTGGTAAACAAGATCCAGTCAAGAACAAAAGATTTAGCAAAGGAGTCAATTCATTTATATTTTTACGACTGTCCTGGAAGGACTGAAATCCGTGGGATGGATGGAAAAACCCCATGTGCCGCATGCTTCGTGCTCCTCCTTTGCTAGGTACCAGGGAGATCGTCCCCACATCCTATTTTCGTTTTTTCACAAACGCACGCAAATAGTATATACCACTGATATTCTTGTTCTCTGCATACCCTGTTACAGGCCAACACAAGCCGCAAAGCAGGCTATCCCAGCGAGCTAGTAATAGCTTCCGGCCTCATTTCTGGAGCCTTGGCAAGAAGACATGAATTGTATTTGCCATATCTTTGGGCGATGAGTTAGAGCGCATTGACTAGACCAATTTTCTTGAGAACCTACGAGTTGTTGTGCTTGGCATTGTGTTTGGCATTTCCCGCCACTGTCTGAAAAAGTCTGATGGTAGCCATGTCATGTATTTGTGAGGTCCATGGAATGGCAACCCAGTGGTTGATTGAATTGCAGCAATACTTCCGAGTTGTTGATGGACGAATCCCGTACACCAATCCTCGCCTTGATACGTTCGGTCTCTCAATTGATTGATGCGACCTCGCGAATCAAGGCAACGCTATTCTCGAAATATTTTCTTCTGTAGTTGAAAGAAAGGCGGTGTGTGTGGCTATGTACAAATCGTGTGTGTGGAATTCTGGCAGGCTTGGTTTTTACGTTTACGTTTACGTTTTTACTTTTACGTTTTTACGCGTAAAAACGTAAATTTGCAAAAGGGCCTATTTTTACGGCTATTTTTACGTTTTTACGGCTACCTGAAACGCCCAGATTACACGATGAAAGTTGCGTACAATGATCAGTCCTCCGCCATATCCAGCACCTCCAACACAGTGTCCACCTCGCCCTTGGCAAGGGCGATGATGGTGTTTAGCAAAAACTCGTTTTCTGCCCCTTCCAGGGCGTCTGGCTGCCACTCTCCTGACTCCGTAAGTCTGTATGTACTGTCCTTATGTACACCGGGTAGTTTTTACGTTGTATTTACGTAGTTTTACGCATTTTTACGCGTAAAAACGTAAAAACTGTTTTTACGCATAAAAACGTAAAAACTGTTTTTACGCATAAAAACGTAAATACGATCAGTTCTTACGGCGTAAAAACCAAGCCTGAATTCTGGAGACCACCCGACTTGTGTAAAGGGATGGAGGCACATGTGCGCGGCGAGAGGCCCGATCAGTCAAAGTTTTTGACCATTGGTGACCCCGCCAGACTTGTCGCCACGCGTTTTGCACGACACAAAAAGTCGTTGTGAAGGGGTCTCCCGGAAGCTTGCTCGGCGTCCCTGGGTCTACTCATTTGCTTCGGCGTCTTGCTTGCCAGCCCCTCGCTGCCTTCAAACCTGCCGAGGTCAGCCAACGGCCGTACGACCTGATCCGCGCGACGGCCCCTGTCGTGGCGCTGGCGAGCAGAGACCATGAACGAGGCTCCGGATGTGGCGGCTTCGCTGTTTACGACGCAGTATCGGAACGAGCGTATTGCGGGGAAGCTTCCGCCGCCGGCCAATTTGAAGGGTACCGGTTCGTGCTTCGACATGACGGTGCCGTCCCAGGTACGAGCCGGTGCACACAAGACCTTAAACCAGGTGGAGTTCAATAGTCCCGAGTGGTGCAAGGCGCACCAGCAGTTCCAGTTCCCCACCGATAGGCCAGACCCGGCGGACCACCTGAAGCAGGGAAGAGGATCTGCAAAGAGGAAGTCCGAAGCCCAACCAAGGCAGGAGCCACAACCGCCCAACGCGTGCGCCTTCAAGCTGCGTGAGAACCCTCCCAACACCGCCTTTCGGAGGTTCTACGAGCGCGGCGATCTCCCGGTGGCGGTTGAGCACAGGGGGGTCAAGAACGTCATTGCATGGAAGGTGGACGTGCAGAAGCTGGACTACCACCACTACCTTCCAATATTCTTCGATGGCATTCGCGAGACGCAGGAGCCGTATCGCTTCCTGGCCGTCAAGGGCGTGGAGGACATGCTGCGTGTGGGGGGATCCAAAATATTGCCGGTGATCCCGCAGCTCATCATCCCCATCAAGACGGCCCTGAACACCCGCAATCCGCAGGTCATGTGCATCACCTTGCAGCTGCTGCAGAAGCTCGTGGTGTCCGCCGACCTGGTGGGAGAGGCGCTGGTGCCGTATTACCGCCAGATCTTGCCCATCTTCAACATTTACAAAAACAAGAACAAGAACATTGGCTCGGGAATTGACTACGGGCAAAGGAATTACGACTGCCTGGGAGAGCTCATCTCGGACACGCTGACCCTTTTCGAACAGCGCGGTGGGGAGGACGCATTCATCAACATAAAGTACATGGTGCCAACGTACGAGTCGTCCATCAACTACGCATAGACCAGAAAGAAGATTCGTGGACTCAGGCGCGCAGAGGTTCAATCTCAAGAGGGACAAAAATTGGGGAGAGGTGCGGGCGCAAGAAAATGGCAAATCATGGCCATGTGGCAAGGAGATCATGGGCTACTGATGTGCCAAAAAGGGCTGGCTTGCTTCGGGCTATTGAGGCACACCCCTGTGTGGTGGGCTTGGCTGGGTCAAGGACAACTTCCACTTGGGCGCAACCATGGAAATATTCGAATGGCGAGACACATTTCATATTGTAAGACGAGGTTGAAAGTCGACAGCAGCGATAAAGTGAAAAGTGTTGTGTTTGAAACAGAAGGTTGGAAACTTCGCAACGGACTGGATACAATTGTGGCAGCTATGGCGATCCTTTGCTTTTGGGAATTGTCGATTCGGAATTATTGCAGCCTTCGCTGGTCATCGGCTTGTGTTTTCAGCAGGCCAAAAGAACCTAATTGGGAAGTAATAAACACGTTGTGTCCGTGTTTTCTCTTCTATAATTACAGACTCGCAAGTTGGACACTAAATCGCATGTAGCTTCCCGTCAATGAACTGACTGCCATTGTATCAATATGTCCTGAAGGACCTACACAGCAAGTCACAGGCAGTCCTTCCAGAATGAGCACCGGACAAACACAATCGGCATTGGGTCACCAGGACAAAACCGCAACGAAGGCCTTATAAGCGTAAGTGCAAGGTGCACAAACCATTTCTGTCCCTTGCAACTGTGCAAGGTGGATTGCATCAACACGTTGTGTTTTGCGCACCAAGTTTGCCATTCCGTTAGCAAAATTCGTTAGAATATTCCTCACTGAAGACAACGTGGCCACAACATGGCCAGACAACTGGCAAAAAAGTGCTCCATTTCACATGTCCCATATCCAATCTAATAGCCTCCTTTCCCATCCAGGTTTTGCCAGCCAATGAACCTAAAGTTGGGAGAAAGTAGGCGCTGAAAATGGAGGCAAACAACCCGATTAGGACATGAAGTACGTCACATGCTGCTTACTTGCTCAGGGCGGTAAAGTAGCCTGCGCAGCAGCATCTGCCCCATTCACATGCACATCCCCAGTTTGCAACATGCGACCATATAACATCCCAGATTCTAAACAGAGGAGAGAAGATGGTACAGACTGCAGCCTATGCACGAGAATCCCAGTGGCCTCAACGCACGCCCTTTGCTTGGAGGTACGATGTGCAGCCAGCATTTCATCAAGAGCGTAAAACAATGAAGCACAGCATCATGCCATTGTGTAGTTCTCTTACATTTTTCCCCAACTGATCTCACAATCTAGTTTTTCTGGAAACATGCCAGCGAATCAGCAATGATCAGCACTCCTGTGCACTCCTTACCACTTGGATCTCCTGTTCAGTCCCCAAAAGATTTATAACCTAGCCCTTCGTCCAATGAGGTGAGACTGGAGTCGCTTCAGACGCCCAAATTCTGTCCTGATATAATCTACAAGCCTGTCAGGGTATGATATCACAGACACTTCACCACTGATTTCTCCTTTCTTCCACCTATGAAGCACAATTATCTTATCAAGATGTGCAGACTTTCGGACAGCAGCAATGTCAGTCTCACAACGCATGCAACCCATTCTGCAGAGTCTCACACTGCAGGCCTTCCACATGTGGACAGCACAACTGGCAGCACAGGTGACACACAAAAGAGTCTGTCTTGCAACGTGCCAAGTGCCTCCAAATGGTCTTCCTGAGGATGGGGTAAAGCTATCAATCTACAAAAACAGCAATAACAGAATCACCACTAGCTTGGCATGTGGTCTGCCAGCCCCTCTTATCACCTTGATCCCTGTCAAGAGGCCATATCACCCAAGCTGTTGCAAGGGTCTGAGCTTGCCTTCCCGAACTTTTGATATTCTAGTCGAGCAGTGATGGAAAGTGATCTAATACAAAACTGTCAATGGATATGTGCCTCACTGTCCAGAATTGTCCATCAGCATGTCAAAGATACAAGGCTTGTGATAGCGATATTGGACAAATGTTAACAGGAACTAATGAATGCTATTCACCTTGACAAGATGACCTTGTAGGCTGACACATGTGCAACCAGCTGCAGCAGCAACGGCTCAATTCTTGAGGTATCCAAAAGGTCAACATGGTCGAATATGATTGCTGCAGCACGCTCATTCAGCGGCTGCAGCACGTCGGTCATCCACTGCCTGAGCCACAGAGATTGAAATGCACTGAGCCCAAGATACAACTGACTGCATGGTGTGCAGATGATCATCAACATGACTGAGTCTCTGAAGCAGAAATACACCCCAACCAACAATAAACTAAGACTATCAAATAACAGGTAGCCAAACAACTGGCATGGAAGGAATAATGTCTCACAGCAGAGAGTTACTTAAAACTTAGGGCCAGCCTGGCACCAGCCAAGTGCAGCCACCCTCTTCTCAACACTCACGATTGCTGGGCCTACACAGGGTAAAAAAGGTTGAACTGACAACAAGATACTGTTGTAAGCAATGGAATCAGCATCAGTTGTTTACTCCAATGTAAACTGCCAATAAAAAGGTAAGCCCCAGCACCTTTTGTTGCTCCAAACCTTAATGCACACGCACCTATAGATGTGCCCTTCCTTGCCACCTGGGTCGTTTGTCACTGCTCTTTGGAACCCAACGACGGTCCCATCGGGACTGTGCTGTCTTACCATGGCATCGTAGGCAGACTTGGATGCTGTCACACATGCCAGCAGAGGTCCGTAGAAGTCACGCAACTGCCATCAAACACCAACACAGTTCACGTACTGGACACCAAACAGGTCCATTGCCATCTATGCAGGAGCATCAATGTAATTCATTTCAGCACTGCTGCAGACTGCGTTTTTGGTGTCACCTGTTCGTTAACTCTGTCGATTGTGACTTTCCTTTCGTCTGTGAGTTTTGTGTGGTAGTAGGTGAACAGGTAACCTGGCAGCACAGCCGAGACGGTCGTCAATGTCTCAAGAACAAACTTCAAACGTCAAGACCACCACTGCTGCAGCCATCACAGTGCAGTACCTGTGGATCCACAGGCAACTGTGCTTCTGCCCTGTTTCACAGTCGAGTAGGCACAATGGGATGGTCGTCATATCGCGTCGCCCGTCCAGCACGTGTGGGATACTTTTTCAGGGCGGACAAGCTGATGCATTCCCTTCCCAAAGCCACACGCATCCGCTGATCAGCGACGGGGTCTGCCACGCGGCAACCATGTTGCACCCTCGCAGCCAACCATTACTCACCGAACAGGGCGATTCCCCACGAACCCAAGCCCATGCCGCTCCAGCACCACGGTAAGGCGAAATTGCAACTTAGCCGTCAATCTTCGTCAAGCGACACGAAATCCTGCTGCACAACACAACACTGGTGCGCAAGATACCAAATGCTGCTGCCGAACGACGCGCTTCGAAAGCGTAGCTGAACTCAACAGGCGATCAGACCAGGGAAGCGAACTGCCGAGGCGGAAGTTTGCCGACCGTACTTCGACTGGGGTCGCTGTGGTGGGCGCACGCGCAGCAGGTGTGCTCGCACGAGGGGCTGCGAGGCCCCTGCCTTTCTTGCTGCCCGCCAGAATGGTGGAGAAACGTCGTGCTTGCGTTGGATTTCACAATTCTGGAAGAAATGGACAGGTAAGATCGCTCCGTTCTGCACAGCATATCAATGCTACCAGACACACCATTTTGACATGCAACATCATTCTGCCGGAGGGACCGTACACTATTGAAACACGCAAAATTTTGCGCGTTACATGCCGACCTGCCAGCTCGAGCGGCGGGCAAGAAACGCAAAGCCAAGGTGCAAGTGGAGGGCCCAAAATGGAAAATGAACTGTTAGGAAAGATCTTCGTGGGTCTGTTGAAACATTAGGCATAATCGCGTGGGGCAGATCATGTGAGACAGGGGGCCGGAGGAGCCCGTGGTGGACGGGGGGCAACTTTACGGACCACGGCATTGAACTGGTTCAAAGAACAGCGAATGTCATTAACAGCCATTGATACCATGTGACACACCAGCAAATGTGTACATAATTGCGACATGCACTAAATGCAGCTTCAACCCCAAGTGTTGATGCCTTAGCTCGTCGATCATAAAAAGAGTTGGGAGCCGACATATCATGTGTCTAACTACACAATGACTACTATGAGGACAGACATCGGATTTGGCAAGAGCTTCAAGTCGAACCTTGTGAAAATGATCCAAGGTGGGCTGGACGGGAACATATTGTCATTATTGTTCGGATTTTATGTGTGATATGTTTTATGTCAATATTTTGGCACTTGACAAACACATGAATATATGACCCAATGAAATGAAAGAAACCGTATGTGGCATTTGTTGTGCAATTTGCTGACCTGGAGAGATAGTGGATAGAGAGATAGGCAGTTGCTTGAGTGTGGGGAGTTTTCGCATTGAACTTGATGGTCCAAAAGTTAAACAGTTGGAGCGACAGCTTTCTCTGTGGGCTGAGCGGCCTGTTGTGCAAGGGTGACGCAACATCTGCATAAAAATTGTGTGACAGGCTGGTAGCATTATTCGATGGAGACACCCATCCCCGGATACAGCAGGCTGTGAGGAAATCTGATGTGGCTCTAAGAATTGATAGACATTCTATGGATCGAGTAGTTTTGATTTGCTTATATGCACAATGTCTACTGGCCAATTTGGGGGGCTGCTGTGACATCTTCAGCGCGACAAAACTGCCTGATTTGGAGGGGATTCAGTCAAGTGAACCATAGTGCAGTTGTACGCACCTTGTCTGCGTTTCTTCGTGTGTATGGTCTTGCACTCAGGTCGCAGCGTGTAGCCAGCCAGTTTTGCTTCAGCGCCAATCTTCTAAGGTCTCAAATGTTCGGATTTCAACTGGGCGCACACATGACATCCTCATCTTTTGAGTTGCATGGGCATATGAGGGAATCTGTGCGAATCCGTGTTGTGTTTGTCGACAACGTTATCCAGAATTGTTAAACTATTTGCTCCTGAGTGTCCAAGGCACATGGGATGTTTCAGCTCTGAATTTTGTTGCCATATGCCAGCGGCATGCACGCAGAGTACTCTGCATGCCACTAGTGCCGGGACAAACCCAATATCGCTTCCCCCCATCGCACCCTTCAACCGGCCTGGTGCGAGGGACAGGCGAATTCTTTGTGCATCGTTTCCCAACATGTTCTGGGATCTGATCGGTTCATCATTGCAATTCTGCAAATTTTTATGCTCACGAGGGCTCGTTTCTAGTTCACCATGGCCACAACGGGGACAGCAGAGAATTGAGCGCTTTGCAAGACAGTATCTTACTGTTCATGTGCACAGAACTGGCACACTGATATGACACATAGTTGTGCCCCACTTTAGATTTTAGTGTCAAATACGTCTTCAGACGTTGTCCACATGCAGGCCCGCACCAACTTTTTTAGCATTATATTTCTCATATTTGTGATTCTGCCTCCTAGTTTCACAGTTAGTACACTAATTCTGCCTTTTCAGAGTCATTCTTGCTCGGAAACTAGTCCCCAGTGCTCAGGACATCAAATCCGTCAATGCACATGGCAACACTTACGCACACTTTTTGGCGCGCTTTTTGCCTTTTGGTAGCACTTGGTGGCTGTCCACGTCAAGTCGTTTGACGGTATCTACTTTAGCATCACAGCGTCAGCCACCGTACGCCACTTACGTGCCAAACATTCAGTGACTGGACGCATGACCAACGGTGATTGACAGTCGGAAATCACAGAATGAAAGGCACGTGTCCATGACTAACGTTGAGGAACTGCTTCAAATGTCGTGAAAACTCCATCTGGCGAACGTTGCTAACCACAATAGCAACAAACAGGGTCTCCAGCCACAAGCTGGGGCGTGCCTATCCCGTGAACACCGGCTTCCTGCCTGGCTGTCCTCTTTGTGTCTCGCCTGCCGCCTGCCAATGGCGGCTATTTCAGTTGGTTTCGTGGGGATGGGCATAATGGGAACAGCCATGGCCCGAAACCTCCAGGACAGCGGCCAATTCAGTCGTTTGTCCGTGTGGAACAGATCGGCAAGCAAGGTAAGTACAAACCACTGCATCGTTGCTTCCGGGCTTGCAAAGCAGCGGCACTTCCCTAGCCTGTAAGCGTTTGTGTCCTTGTGACTATTGTGCAGCACTAAGTTCAAAAGGATGCTCTCCACTGAATCCACTGCCAGATCTACAGCGTCGGCCATCAATGGGAGAAGGTGGATACTGAAAAGGAATACGTTGCCCTCTTAACCTGTGTTTAGTTTCTTACAGTTTCCGCCCATTTGTTTCGGTCAAGGACGCTACTTCCAAATTGCCTGTACTTAAGTTGTCTGTTTTGTGATGCACACCATCGTTGCTGATGCCAGAAAGCACGGTCTGGCTGCGCGATAGCGCCTGAAGGGCTGCAACTGCCATTTGATGGCACGTCCAGCGAATCTCCCGGCGCCTGGATTGGATCCAGTGGTTGTCGCATGCGGCCGACTTCTCCATGGTGTATTGTTTTCTGTTGATCACAGTGCGACGAGCTAGCGAAGGGCGGTGCGGTGGTGGCAGCAAGTCCGGCAGAGGTTGTTCGGCAGAGCGACATCACCTTTGGGATGCTGGCCGATCCGCAAGCTGCATCGGATGTGAGTGGGCTTGTGTTGGCCCAAATTGCGGTATTGACTGAGGTTTCATTCCTTAGAAAATACCGGGTGCCTGGGCAACACCTGCTGCTGTTAATACTCCTCATATTTTTATTGGACTTGATGCGACGATCTGCAAAAAATGGAGTGCACTTGTACTTGACATCACCCCACCCAAATTGGCAACTCTTTGCTGGAATAACAGCATGAAGAAGCCACTCAAACAAGATGATCGTGCACGATCAACCAGCACGGGAATGCTAACAGACTTTCTGGAATTTGTTTCTTGTAACAATCTTCTGAATAGGGCCATTCCATGGCCACTACTGTTCCCTCCACTCACATAAGCGGTTGCTCCCATTCCAATATTATGATTGCAAAGGTGCCGTGTTGCTCATGTTTCAAACTATGTTTCATCAGCATTGCTGTCTTCCTTACAATGTGCTCTGGGAAGCTGAGTCAGCTGCACTTCATACGTGCATCATTGTCAATCGAAAGATCATCCCAGGTATTGCTCCTCAACAAAAGCAACACTTGGAGATATGGTGGCACATGTGCTGTGGTTCAGTGGTGTGGCAAGATGCACTCAGTTGCTGTTTCTGCGTTTTGATTTCAGCAGATTTTATCTGATTGTACACAGTGCTTCGCCTGTGCCCAATTGCTTTTGTCTGTTTTTCATCATGGTCGTCACTACCTAGTGTTTGCTTGGTCCATACACAGTGGTGGTCCAGATATGGCGCCCTGTAAATCGCTCCGCCCTAATGGCATGCCCTTTAGGGCCTTATGACCTCACACAGTGCATCTGACAATTAAACCCACCCAGTCGACCTGTTTCCAATTTTTGTTCAACCTGCAGTGTGAGTTGGTAGCCAACACAACTGGGTAAAGATCTAAGAACTGTCGTGCAGTGCTTATGCACACGATCAGGTGACTTGTGAATGGAACGCGACAGTTCGTGTCCCAGCAAATGTAAGGACGTTTTAAAGGTGCACTGTGCAGCAAGAAGTGCATGATGTGGTTTTGGATTGTGAGACACTCTGTCAATCTGCCAACAACGCCTCATTTTAAGAACTTACATTCCGCAAATACAAATCATTGATTTAGTCCAGAAATTCAACGAGTGGCAGGCACATTCGGCAAGTTTTGAGTTTTCAGCACCTTCTCTTGCTTGGCAAGAGATGGAATAAAGTTTCAGGCGTGGATGAGTTCATTTGATTGTGTTACTTGCAATAAGTGAACTTTGTGTTTGGTTTCATTTAACTAATATTTTTCTGCAACGGATCCCCAGTAGTGCCAAGTATTGGGCCATGTCACAGGGGGTTGCTATATCTGGACCCCCACTGTGCTGAAGTGCAAGGGTGAGCAAGTTTGGAATATGCTCCTTTTCATCGATGCTTTCTGTGTTGTGTCAGAAATTGTGAGGCGCACGTGTAGGTACAGGTCAAAACTGGAAGTGACATTGTGCCAAAATGTCTCATCTAGTTATCCCATTCTGCTGCATTTATGACCATCAGTATCGGCCCCAATGCAAATTGCCAACAGTATAACCCTGTTGCATGATGGTTATTCAACAAAAAGTTCAATAACTTTGTACTGTGTGAAGAAACTGTGCAGCTGCTGTGCTTGTATCAATGGACCAATGCCCGAAAGGATCTTAGGTCTGCCAGGATACACTGTTGTTCTCAGGTTGTATTCAGAGAAGGTGGTGTGCTGGATGGGCTGTCTGGCAAGAAAGGGTACATTGATATGTCAACTGTCGATGAGGCAACGTCTAAGAAGATTTCTGAAGCTGTCGTATCCAGAGGCGGCCGTTTTCTGGAGGTAATGTGGCTGTCATTATAATACTGGCTAGCAAAACAGGGACAGAATTTTGAATCACTGTTGTTGGCACATGTACCAGCACAGTGTTCACGAATGTTCTGCCCATGTACAGGCTCGTTTGCCTCATGTTGGGTTGTCACAGTTGCGACTTGTGGCAGTGGCATTCAAGAGGTGCTCTGTGTTCAGGTTGAGACAAAGGTTCAGCTGCCAAAAGCATTTCACGAATATCCTGTAAGAAAGCAATTTCAACAAGTTCACTGCTTGCAACCAGCAAGTTCATTTGTTCATGCCTGCAACATGCTGATCCAGACCATCACGGTTTCGTTCCTAGGCTCCTGTTGCAGGCAGCAAGAAGCCAGCCATTGATGGAACGCTGGTAATCCTGGCGGCTGGGGACAAGAGCCTGTACGAGGAGGCGCTGCCAGCGTTTGAAATCATGGGCAAGAAATCGTTTCTTTTGGGAGATGTCGGAACAGGGGCCAACATGAAACTGGTTATCAACATGATAATGGGATCGATGCTTGGTAAGCAGCAATCCGTGCATGGTCAGGGAACATTGGCCAATGTCCGACACTCTGTTGATTGAACACAACCATGGTGTTGTATTGTTCGACTTGTGTATGTTGTAGTTGGTTAAAGTTGTTTTGATTACCAGCTGCAGGCAACTGCTCATTGAAGGTGGAACCGTTTCTCAATATTGGAAGCTGTTGGAAAGCTATGGTTTTTGAATTCTGATAGTTGATTCCAGCTTGTGGGCTTGTGAAAACTGTGGTTGGGTACTGCTATAAATGTTGGCCATCACGCTGTGCAGTACTGATGATGGCCACACCTTCAGGTTTTGCTTGAAAGAGATGGAAGTGCCTTGCCGAGTCGATCTGGAGGAACATCGCACCAAAGCGGGAATATGTGTCATTTAGTGCTAACTGGTACGGTTTGTGCCAATTTCTGGTCGTTGGTTTGGATAGGTGCTCTGTGCGAAGGCTGTGCTCTTGCCGAAGCGGGAGGCCTTAGTCAGGAAGACCTGTTGGAAATTTTGAACATCAGTGCTATGGCCAGTCCGTTGGTGAAAGTGGCAGGGGCCTCTATCCTTGCAAGGGAGTACCCGCCGGCCTTCCCATTGAAGCATGCGCAAAAGGACATGCGGTTGGCTATTGCAACAGGGTGAGCGGCTGTATGATATTGTGGTGGCGCGAAATGCGACCTCGTTGTGATTATCAGTATGCATGGCAGCGGCTATTGACTGTTGGTCACTGCGCCTCCTTTGGTTGCGTTGTGACCGTCTGATGGTTGAATTGTCGCACCGTGCTGTTTTGTTGAGTGCGTTCTGCTGCAGCAGCTGCACTGAGATGGTCTGTTGCTGAGATGAAAGGTTGGTTGCAAACACATCCCTGTTACCTACATCACCTACTTGTTTGGTTGGACCATTGTCAGCCCCACGAATGGCTCTTCGGGGATTGTGCACGCACCATCGCCTATTGTTTCCTCATCGTCTAACATGGTGGGACACGTTGCTCCGTCAAAAGCACTATGGACTGACGCTGGTTTGCATTGTCGCTGTGGGTACCTGCAGAGACAGGCTCAACCAGCCACTGCCCATTGCCGCTGCTGCCAACGAGAAATTCAAGGAAGCCAAGGCGATGAACCATGCTGATGATAACTTTACTGCCATCTACGAGGCAACCACTGTGAACCACAGGAACAAGTAGCAAGTCTGGAGCTTCTGCTTAGGGGTTGACTAATATGTGCACATTGTTCAGCCTTCTCGAATTTGCTCATGCGCCTCTGAGCATGCATTCATTCGGGCCAATGGTGAACTGATCGCTGCATGACGAAAAGGAAAGCAGCGTGCTTGTGGACAATGGTATCGATGCATTGTTGAAACCTTTGCTGTAGGAATGTGCTCAAGACGCAACTTTAGTTGGCACGATGCATGGATTGGCCAGCGAATCACCCACAACGTTCCGGATCGTCCACGATGCTATCATTCATGGGCATTTGCGCCATCCGTTCGATAATTGTCAAATGTGTGCAAGGACCTGCATGCGATACAGTCTATACGAACGCTATTTGCACAATTTGCATGTGGATAGAATAGGGGAAGGCCTTAAGAGTTCCGAGCTGTGTGTCCAGGCCTTATTTCTGTGCACCTGACACCGGTTCCCTCAAATCCAGCTCGCAAGTGGATTGCCCCACCGCTCGTGTGACAAGACCACTACCATGATCTGCTCAACACGCATCGACCCCTTGGTGCCTGATATCCACATATGTGCTTGCCTGTACGGCAAGACCATTGCCCTCGCCCTTGCATCGTAATGTCAGGATGGTGTTTGGGAAACAATCACCCATGCGAAAAGTCACTTGTTAAAAGAAGCAGCAGCCACTGCAAAGTGTTGGATAGAAAGACTCGTCACTCCGCAAAAGGTTTTGCCCTCTCTCTGATATCACCGCATTTGGACTGCTAATCATAATTTGCCGCCAATCGTTATGCTCATAACCAGGGAAGAGTACGGTCCCTTTGCAACCTGCGCTTGCTACCGGGACATGTTGCAGTACCTCCGTCTTGCCGTCCATCGTTCGCGTAACTGGATGCAATGGGTGCTAATTCAGCATTCGTAAACCAAGGGCATGGGCACTGCCAATCTGCAAGTGGTACAAATGCCAGTGACAATAGCCAAGAGCAGGCTGGGGAGCATGTATCAAAGGGACTGGCAGTATCCACGCATGAACATGGCACTCATGTCGCCAATGCCCACACAGTACATACACAGAACAACGGAGGGGATCCCCAACTGGTCGCACAGCGAGGCCAATAAGGCCCCAATTCCATACGCCTCGAATGACCATTATGTTCATCTTCTCCAAAAGGGTAAATGCATTACTCCTGCCCATGCACTAACTTGCTTGTGACAGAAAGCATGGGACTCCAGTCAAATGCTCAAGGTTCACACTGCAACTCTTCGGTCAGCCTCATCATGAATCGACCTGTAAGTGCTTTGTGCGATTCTCACAGGATATGACAGCTTGGCCAAAACGTCACTTGGACAATGTTAATGTAAACATGCCTGCGCAATGCTACAACTATGGGTACACATTGACACACATACATCGTTGGGTTAAACAGTCAATCAACAACTATGTGCTTTGGAGTGATGAGGGCGTTCACGGAATGACAGAACAGAACAGCCCAGTAAATCGCGACATTTTAATCAGACAGGACTGAACATTGCACTATCATATGGCACCATCTTGACTGAATTATCAACATTTGTCAGCACCTTTTGCACTAGAAGGATAAGAGCGAGTTAATCCACGCTGGAATGAAGAACACAAGCAGCGGCACGGTGGGGACATAGACAGGGGCAGAGAGGATATCGACAAAAGGAATTGAAAACTTTTTACACCACGCCCTGAAATCATAGAATCCATATTGTCAATGCCGTCGAGGTGCTCAAAACAATGACCCTATATTTCGTCTTACAGAACAGCTGTCTCCATGATTACAAGGAATATACAGATCAGGTTACAACCAGCAAGCTGAAAACTTCTCACAAGAAGGTCCCCGAATTGCCACATGACTTGGAACCCACTTTCATAACTTAATCTTCTTCTCTTCGACGAGAGACTCCACACGCAGCAGCACAAAACCGATCGCCAGACCCTGCAACGCATTGCCAACAATGCCAGAAATGATGAACATCGCAAGCAACATCACGAATATGGATCATTATGCTGACAATATCACACGAGCACTTAAGACACTGAAAGCAGAAAGTAGGTCTCAAAGTCAAAGTCGAAACGACCGTGTTGGCGCCTGTTGGAGAGGTAACGTCAGAACTAAATGCTGTTGGCAGGATATGCACCGAAATCTGTAAGCAAGCTGGACCCTCCCCACCCTCGACATCAATCATTATATGCAAATGGAGCCATTCCTCCTGCGCATCCATCAAGGACATGCCGGCATGCTTACCACAAGTGTGATACCGAACAAAATGCCCGCAACCTTGAAGATCAGCCCTGTTTCCACCTCTGCAAGCTGCGCCACCTCTATGAAGTTCGTGGATTGCAGCGCCGTTTTGCCCACGCCACACGGGGTAGTAAGCCTCAGAGATTGCGAACCGGTGACAAACTGCGTCACTGTGGGGTCTGCTCTCCTGAAAGCAGACAGTCTAGCAGAACGGGCATTCAATATGTACCATAGTTCAATTCAGGGAGGAACAGAAGAAGGCAACTTCTGAGCACACCGCATTCAAGCGGAGCTACTGGACCAGCGGGGTTGAGCTGGTCCATATGTACTCCTGCCCAGCCCACCGCAGCGGATACCCGGAAACGCATCCATGGCCTCACCTCGCTGAGCAGCAACCCCTGAGGCTGTGGCGATTGCCTTGGCCAACTGGCTTAGAGGCACAGGGCGCGTAAGCCTTGCAGTTCGTGGTGGAGGCCATGCTCGCTGCGACGACGGACGAAGGAGGGCAACACACAGGCGCGCACGGCTAACAGGAGTTTCTGTATCGACGTCGACCACTCAAAATTGTGAGCAAGGACTGGATCCCCTGGTCCAGGTGGGTGTGGTGTCTCGAAATCTTCATCGCTCAGATGGGGTACTCAGCAAGAACGCCACATTCGCCCCCACCAGAACTGGGTACTGTTACGGCTAGAACTGATTGAGTGTTACTAATAACTGAATACATGAAAAGATGACGAAGCACTAGGAATTGCATTAAAGATGTTGATGAACAGACTGAGTATAAAGGGCGGAATGTCTCTCGTCCTTTTGCCTCGGCTGTAAACCGTTGCCGTGGACTCGAGCGTACAATTCCCGTTCAGGGATCGCCACCCCTCGATCATGCCTGCCTTCGTCAGTACCTTATCATTATAGTCTTATAATAGTCGATGTAGCATTGGAGAGGTGTTGTAGAGGTAACGTGAGAACTAGATGCTGTTGGCAGGATATGCACCGAAATCTGTAAGCAAGCTTCACCCTCCACACCCTGGACATCAATCATTATATGCAAATGGAGCCATTCCTCCTGCGCATCCATC